AAGTTTAAGAGGGGGTGTTGAAATATAAACTTGGTTTTAGTTGTTTAAATAAAGCTTAATTTCTATAAGCTTATTCTAGAATATGTGATAGGTATGAAATTATTGTGTAGTAGGTGTGGTAGGTGTTGACTTATTGTGTGGTAGGTGTGGAATTATTTGTAACCATTGGATTGTAATTGTGGCGGCACAATCCTAGTCATAAATTTAGGAGGTGCCACTAGGATTAGGGGTAGAGTCTTTGAGTTTGTATCAAGCCAAGTAAAGGTGTTAAATAAGAGTGAAGCTTCTTCCATAAGTTGTGTTTTTAGCCTTTGTCATTTCCTAAAAGCTTCTCCATTCCAACAGGTATTGAAAGATCTCGAAAATACTAATGATTACAGTCCAAATTTGTTATAACCCTTTATTATATGAGGGAACTTGGGAATCTTTATTTATTTTTCTCCTTAAATTAGAGAGATTAGCTGCCTCTTATATTTTGTTATTATTCATTTCCTTTTTTACTCTATTTTGTTTTTAGTGTTTTACTTGTCAGTAAGTCTTGTAATGGGCATTTATACCCCTCTTTTCATCAATAAAATTAAATCCTCATATTTTTTCATGGTATCAGAGTCATACCAATCTTCTTCGGTATGAAGACTTCTTCTTCTTCCTCCTAAGAAATATCATCCGCCTCATTTGCCCCTGTTCCAACCGGAATCGATGACACTTCCTCCCTCATCACTGGCCACAAACTCAACGGCCAGAACTACCTCCAGTGGTCTCAATCTCTCATGATGTTTATCTGTGGCAGAGGCAATGACCACTATATCACCGGTCATGATGTCGCTCCGACCAAGGATGACCCAAAATTTCGGACATAAAATACAGAAAACGACATGGTCATGTCGTGGTTAATCAATTTCATGACCAACAAAATCGGCGAAAATTTTCTTCTCTACGGCACGGCCAAGAATATTTGGGATGCTGCTCGAGAGACATACTCTCACTCATATAACACATCCAAGTTCTTCGAGATCGATTCAATCCTCCACAAACTTCGCCAAGGTGATCAATCTGTGACTCAGTATTTTAATGTCCTCTCTCGTTACTGGCAGCAGGTTGACATGTATGAAGTTCATGTCTGCTGGTCATGCACTCCGAACTCCAACTTATATCATCAGATCATCGAGCAAAAAAGGATATTCAAATTCCTTCTCAGCCTCAACAACTCTCTCGATCATGTTCGCTCTCGTGTATTATGCTTCAAACTACTACCGAGCATTCCTAAGGCCTTCTCCGAGGTTCTCCGCGAAGAAAGCCGCCAGAAAGTCATGCTTGGGCCTATCTCCACCTCGCCCAATCTCTCTGTTGACGCCTCCGCCCTTGCAGCTCGAGTTCCTCCGCCTCGACACAGCGACAACCCATCACGCAAGGGTCATCCCTAGTGCGACCATTGCCGCAAACCAGGCCATAATAAAGACACGTGTTGGGTGCTTCATGGAAAGCCAGCCGATTGGAAGCCTCGATCTGATCACGCTCCCCATGATAACAGGACCATCGCTGCCGATGACCTTCCTGCACCAGCGCCCAGTCCATTCAGCAAAGAGCAACTAGATTTGCGACAAAAACTGATCGACAAACCACCGGATCTACCTGTTCCCGACCCCATCACCGGCCTGCTCGCGCATCAAGGTACGTTCTACCATGCCTTCACAGTCAATCAATGATCCCTCGGTCAATGGATCATCGATTCCGGTGTTTCTCATCACATGACTGGCGATGCATCCCTTCTCCGTGACTATATGTCTTGCGGAGACAACTCCACCATCCGCATTGTCGATGGCTCTGTCTCCAAAGTCACATGCTTTGGTTCCGTGCGCAGCACCTAAAACATTCTACTTCGATCTGTGTTTCATGTTCCTACTTTAAATTGCAATTTAATATCCATCGGAAAATTGATTAGTGATCTGAAATATATTGCTAAATTTTTCCCTACCACGTGTGAATTTCAGGATGCGGACTCGGGGACGACGATTGGCAATGCTGGGTTGTGCTCGGGCGCTCAAGTCTCTACATCATCAACAGTACTTCACCACCACGACCTCGTTGCGGACATTTGTCTACCTATCATTCTGTCTTCAATTCTGTCAATAAAGATTCTGAGATCATGTTACGGCATTTTCGTCTCGGTCATCCAAATTTTATATATCTTGCAAAACTATTTCCAAATTTATTTATCAATAAAGATGTTCGTTCTTCTCAATGTGAATTTTAACAACTTGTCAAACACACTCGCACGTCATTTCCACGTGTTGGTTACACCTCTTCCCGGTTCTTTGCACTCATTCACAGCGATACTGGGGCCCACCCCGTGTTACAACCCTTACCGAGACTCGGTGGTTTGTCTCTTTTATTGATGATCACACTTGACTAACGTGACTATTTCTTACGAAAGATAAATCTGCAATCGGTCACATATTTGAACAATTTTACTCAATGATCCAAACACAATTCCAAACCTTCATCCAGACACTCAATATTGATAATGCAAAGGAGTACTTCGCTTCCGTCTTACTCCGCTTCCGTCTTCGGCTCTTATCTCTCCTCTAAAGGCATCCTCCATCTCAATTCTTGCGCCGACACTCAACAAAATGGGATCGCCGAACACAAGAACCGCCAAGTTCTCGAGGTGACCGGCTGCCTCATGTTTTCCTCTAACGTGCCTAAAGTTTTTTGGGGTGACGCTGTATCCACTACAGCCTACCTCATCAACAGGATGTCTTCTTAGGTCCTCAAATTTCAAAGTCCAGTCCAACTCCTTCTCAAATCATTTTCCCACACTAAGACAATTACTCAAAATCTACCTACCAAAGTATTTGGTTGCTCCTCTTTTGTTCACGTTCATTCACACAATCGCAGCAAACTTGACCCTAAATCTACTAAAAATATTTTCATCGGCTACTCGTCTCTTCAAAAAGGGTATAAGTGCTACTTTACTCTCACAAGAAAAACCTACAATACTATGGATGTCACCTTATTTGAAAATAAGCCTTACTACCCCGATTCTAATATTCAGTCTCTTCAAAAAGGGTATAAGTGCTACTTTACTCTTACAAGAAAACCCTACAACACTATGGATGTCACCATATTTAAAAATAAGCCTTACTACCCCGATTCTAATATTCCGGAGGAGATTTTAAGGGAATATCAGTCTTGGGGGGACAAAAAGATCATACCACCACACACCAAATCCTCGTCCCTTGTACCGAACTCATTATCTCCCGACTCGACCAACTCACGTGAAAATGTACCTAACAATCAGTCTCTGTCTAGTCCTTAAGTGTCCAACTCGCACATAGATCACCCAACACATCCAGCGCCAATCCAAAAGTCAGAACCAAATCCAACTCCTACAAAAATCCACTCAGGTACGAACACACTTGAACATGAATCTACTATACCTATGATTGATGACTTCGACATTCCAATTGCTTTAAGGAAAAGTGTTAGGTCCATCCGACCTCCACTCAAGTACGAACACACGATACATCCGATCTCCAACTTTGTGTCATATGAAAAACTATATTCAGCTTACCACTGCATTTGACAATACACAAGTCCCAAACACAATTGATGAAGCTCTCAAACACCCGGGGTGGAAAGCGGCCATCAAAGAGGAGGTAAGAGCCCTACAAAAGAATGGTACATGAACTGTTTCAGACCTGCCAAAGGGAAAGAAAGCAATCGGTTGCAAATGGATCTTCAAAGTTAAATACAAGGCAGATGAAACAATTGAGAGATTAAAAGCACGTCTTGTAGCAAAAGGTTTTTCACAGTTTTACGGTTTGATTACCAAGAAACTTTTGCCCCTGTGGCCAAACTTAACACCATCAGAATCCTTCTCTCACTTGCGGCAAATGAAGACTGACAGCTACATCAACTCGACGTGAAAAATGTTTTCCTAAATGGCGATTTGGAATAAGAAGTTTACATGGAAGCACCTCCCGGACTAGAAGCATCCTTTCCAAGCAACAAAGTCTGCAAACTCCAAAAATCATTGTACGACCTCAATTAACGTCCTCGAGCATGATTTGATAGATTTCCAAAATCAGTGACAAAACACGGGTATACTTAGTGTCAGACAGATCACACTCTCTTCGTGAAAACCTCTCCTGAAAAGAAGATTGCAATTCTAATCGTATACGTCGACGATATCACCTTTACTGGAAATCACGAAGAACTTACAAATCTAACAAAGCTTCTCACTCGGGAATTTGAAATCAAAGATCTCGGAAACTAAAAGTTCTTTCTCGGCATGGAACGAGACATGGAACTAGCTCGATCAAAACGAGAAATATTTGTATTACAACGGAAATATACATTGGACCTGTTAAAGAAAACAGGTATGCTTGGTTGCAAATCCATAATATTTGTGTTACAACGGAAATATACATTGGACCTGTTGAAGAAAACAGGTATGCTTGGTTGCAAATCCATCGATACTTCAATGGATCCCTACAAGAAGATCAACACTGAGAAAAATAGCGCAACTGTGGATAGGGGGAGATACCAGCGACTCGTGGGGCGACTCATCTATCTCTCACAAACACGACTCGACATTGGTTTTTCTGTTAGTATTGTTAGTCAATTCATGAACAGCCCTACGGAAGAACACATGAATGCAGTCTACAGAATCTTGAGATACCTCAAGATGACTCTAGGCAAAGAGCTATTGTTTCAAAGGAATAAGGATCGAAGTATAGAAGTGTATTCAGACGCAGACTGGGCAGAGAATGTCTCGGACCGACGATCGACTTCCGGCTATTGCACTTATGTCTGGGGAAACCTAGTCACTTGGAGAAGCAAAAAACAATCTGTGCTATCAAGAAACAGCGCTGAAAATAATCTGCGAAGGAATGTGGATTCGAAGAATACTCAGCGAACTCGGAATGCTAACTGAAAAACTGTCAAACTACAATGCGACAACCAGACAGTCATCAGCATTGCAAATAATCTGAACGAAACACATTGAGATCGATTGACAATTCATCTCAGAAAACATTGAGAGAGGAGTTGTTGAATTTGCATACATTCATTCCCGACATCAAACAACAGATATCCTCACTAAGTTTTATTCCCGACATCAAACAACAGATATCCTCACTAAGTCTTTCCCAAGAATCAACTTTGAAGAATTATGTAACAAATTATGCATGTACAATCTGTAAAACCCAACTTGAGGGGAGTATTGAAAGATCTCGAAATTACTAATGATTATATTTCATATTTGTTATAACTCTTAATTTAGAGGGTTATAAATTATGAGGGATCTTGGGAATCTATATTTATTTCTACTTAAATTAGAGAGATTAACTGTCTCTTATATTTTATTATTATTCATTTCCTTTTCTACTGTATTTTGTTTTTATTGTTTTCCTTACCAGTAAGTCTAGTAATAGGTATTTATATCCCTCTTTTGATTAATAAAATTAAGTCCTCTCATATCTTTTCAGAGGGCAATAGAGCATTTTGCCCCTCCTGATATATTATTTTGCTCTTTGTTGTCCTAGCCCCTCCCACATTAATTTTAGTATAACAATTTGACCGCCACAAAAAAAGGTTGGTTCCGCCCCTACGCATGTAGAAGCAAACGAGCGAGTGATGCCAACAGGCTGATCTGATTTGGATGATATTAGTGGAATTCATGTTGGATGGTTGAAGTGGAGAAATGAATCAAGTCTATGGTGTGATAACAAAATACTTCTTAGACTTAAAAGAAAATTTTATAAGATAGTGGTGAGACCCAGGAAAAATCTATGGCATGGAATGTTCGTTTGTAAAAGAGAAGCATAAAATAAAGTTAAGTGTTGTTAAGATGAGAATACTGAGGTGAATGAATGGTTTTACATTTAGATACAATCTGTGAAATGATTATATTCGTGAAACGGTTGGAATAGCCTAAATCAGCACTAAATTAAAAAATGGTAGTCAATAAGACGGTGAAGAGAAGGGATTCACAGAGCTGACCAAGCTTAAGACGGGCTCTCCAATCGGGTTTCAAGTGGACTTGTTCAAAAAGATAAAAATGAATATGTATATCTTAAGTGTGGACTCGCTCAACAAAAGAACAAAGAGATGAACTTGCCAGCTAGCTTTCAAGATTGCCCGCCAGTCGAGCTTAAGACAGGCTCTCCAATCGGGTTTCAAGTGGACACGCTAGCCAAGTCCGAGGAATCAACCAGCCAGAAACAATTCAGATTTGACCGCTAACTAAAGATAGAATATTTACAAAACTTAAATAGAAAGCTACTCTAGATTATTACCAAACTTGTCGACCCAATCCAATCTATGAAGCTGCCCAAATCCAAAGAAGCTATTCGGCCAATGCTATAAAGAGGTGCAGCTATTCTTCTAAATCCAATGTCAGACTACTAATCCAATTTTGAATCTGTGCCTAAGGAAATTGCCTTTATTTTTAATATTATTATGTATTTAGTACATGTATAGATTATCCGGTTACTTTTCATATAATATTCAAGATCTTAGATCCACATCATAAATAAAAAATATCAGAGAGAGCCAAGGGTTTTGAATTTTACCTCAGTATTCTGTGCTTCTATGCCAATACAATGGATTTTTTTTTCTTCTTTATTTATATCTCTGTTTTCAACGTTTCTCGTTTCCTTTGTGTTAATAAGGTTCTAGTATAACCAAACGGACAAAACATGATCAAACAGATTGAACAAACTTATGACGTGGAACCAAATAAATAAGAAGATGCTTTCAGAAAGAAACACCATATCACCTGGCACCGTATCCAATCAAGCATGCAAACTGATGGGTACTAAAACACTGAGCTGTATCAGCAACAATCGAAGCTGACATGCGTAAGCCATTCTGAATCAGATGTTGGTGGACAGCACCCACAGCCAAAAGCATGGGAATGGCAGGCCGAGTTGCCTCCTGGCCAAGCAAACAAACAAAAAAATGCCACCACCTTAAAAAGCTCCAAAGAATATGCTCAAAATAATTCATAAGAAAGCAGCCAAGGTAAAACTCCGTCGGCTTCTGTGTGTTAATATAGAAATTCAATTATTATAGCTACGCTGTAAGAAAAAAAGATTAATTAAAAATATCAGTGCAAGAAGAAGAACCTTGAGCCACTTACTACTAGAATCGAAAGGCGACCAAGTTTTAATTACTTTTACAGTTACAGCCAAAATGTTCAGAAGTTCAATCCCAAAAATGAAAACTTGATCTTTAAATGAATATAACAAGCAGACTAACTCAACAGAGCAAGCTGCCCAAATATGCAATTTAGAAAAGGTGTGAATGTTTTCTGATTATATTGGAATGAGGATACCTCTGGCCAACTATGCCCGATAATACACAACTCCTTACATAAACGATAAATAAGCATATTAACGGAGACATAAAAATACAATAGAAACATGTAATCCATTGAATGATAAAGTTGAGAAATTAAATGACTCACAAATCACAGAGGAAAATTTCAAAACCTCATGCAGCCATCAAAATAGTAGCAAGTACTGAAACTTTAACACACATTGCACTAAATAAACGAACGATTGACAAAAAGACGTCAGCATTTAAAACTACAAAGACTGTTGGAAGGTTTAAAGAGGTAGTTCGACCACAAAATCCAATGACAGTTATGGATGCATGTCTTGAGAATAGAAAAATTAATTGAAAGGGAAATTAACGCGAGGAACTACTAGTCCTTTGACTTCCTTGGACTAATAATTAGTCCTATTAAATTTTATGTTTTCAAATTATTAAAAAGATTATTTTAGCCTCAATGAATTTATCTTGAACCGGATGTAATGCCCCGTAATTGGAACCGGCTACCAACAATTCAGCTGAAGTCAATACTAGCAACTTGTATTATCAGAAGAGGAAACAAAAGAAAAGGCAGGGTGAATCAAGCAAGATAAATACAGAGCGAGACAGAGAGACACAATGGACAAAGCCAAGCAAATTTAACGTTGCAGCAACGGCAGGAAAGCCTGGAAGGG